CTAGGTCAGCAATTTCACCTGCCTTGAAAGGTGCTGTTAGTGTGCAGCAATATTCCAGCCTAGATAGAACAAGTGACCTGAAGAGTGTCATCATGGGCTTGGCCTCCCTAGTTTTGAAGGTTCTCATTATCCATCCTGTCATTTTTCTAGAAGATGCGATTGATACAATGCTATGGTCCTTGAAGGTGAGATCCTCCGACATGATCACGCCCAGGTCTTTGACGTTGGTGTTTCGCTCTACTTTGTGGCCAGAATTTGTTTTGTACTCTGATGAAGATTTAATTTCCTCGTGTTTACCATATCTGAGTAATTGAAATTTCTCATCGTTGAACTTCATATTGTTTTCTGCAGCCCACTGAAAGATTTGGTTGATGTCCGCCTGGAGCCTTGCAGTGTCTGCAATGGAAGACACTGTCATGCAGATTCGGGTGTCATCTGCAAAGGAAGACACGGTGCTGAGGCTGACATCCTTGTCTATGTCGGATATGAGGATGAGGAACAAGATGGGAGCGAGTACTGTGCCTTGTGGAACAGAGCTTTTCACCGTAGCTGCCTCGGACTTTACTCTAATGACGACTACTCTCTGTGTTCTGTTAGTGAGGAAATCATAGATCCATCGACCGACTTTTCCTATTATCCCTTTAGCACGCATTTTGTGCGCTATTACGCCATGGTCACACTTGTCGAAGGCTTTTGCAAAGTCTGTATATATTACATCTGCATTCTTTTTGTCTTCTAGTGCATTTAGGACCTTGTCGTAGTGATCCAATAGTTGAGACAGACAGGAGCGACCTGTTCTAAACCCATGTTGCCCTGGGTTGTGTAAATGATGGGTTTCTAGATGGATGGTGATCTTGCTTCTTAGGACCCTTTCAAAGATTTTTATGATATGGGATGTTAGTGCTATTGGTCTGTAGTTCTTTGCTGTTGCTTTACTGCCCCCTTTGTGGAGTGGGGCTATGTCTGTTGTTTTTAGTAACTGTGGGACGACCCCCGTGTCCATGCTCCCTCTCCATAGGATGGAAAAGGCTCGTGATAGGGGCTTCTTGCAGTTCTTGATGAACACGGAGTTCCATGAGTCTAGCCCTGGGGCAGAGTGCATGGGCATGTCATTTATCGCCTGTTCGAAGTCATTTTGTGGCTCTCTCATAAAAAATTCATATTGATCTTTGACTCTCAGTCTGGTTAGCGGCTTGCTAAAAACTGAGTCATATTGGGACTTGAGTAGCTCACTCATTTCCTTGCTGTCATCTGTGTAGGACCCATCTTGTTTAAGTAGGGGCCCAATACTGGACGAAGTTCTCGACTTTGATTTGGCATAGGAGAAGAAATACTTTAGGTTTCTTTCGATTTCATTTATGGCTTTTAGTTCTTCCCGCGATTCCTGACTCCTATAAGATTCCTTTAGCTTAAGTTCGATGCTTGCTATTTCTCTGACCAGTGTCTCCCTACGCATTTCAGATATATTGACCTCTTTTAGCCGCTCTGTTATTCTTTTCCGTCGCCTGTAAAGGGAGCGCCTGTCTCTTTCTATTTTACATCTACTCCTCCTTTTTCTTAGAGGAATAAGCCTTGTGCATACATCGAGTGCCACCAAGTTAATCTGTTCTAGGCATAAGTTGGGGTCTGTGTTGGTTAGTGTATCTTCCCAGCTTATATCGGTTAGGACTTGGTTTACTTGGTCCCACTTTATGTTTTTGTTATTGAAGTTGAATTTGGTGAATGCTCCCTCGTGACTAGTCTCATTATGTCGGTCTGGGGCTCCACGCATACATGTCTGAACCTCAATTATGTTGTGATCTGAGTATATTGTTTTTGATATGGTGACATTTCTTATCAGATCATCATTGTTAGTGAAGATGAGGTTTAGTGTATTCTCCATTCTAGTAGGCTCTATTATTTGCTGGTTTAAATTGAATTTTGTGCAGAGATTTAAAAGCTCGTGTGAGTGTGAGTTTTCATCAGAGCTGCCTCCTGGTGTTATTACTGCAACAATATTATTTGCTATATTCCTCCATTTTAGGTGCCTTAAGTTGAAATCCCCCAGGAGCAAGATGTTGGGTGCAGGAGCTGGAAGATTTTCCAGACAGTGGTCAATTTTTAACAGCTGTTCCTGGAATTGCTGGGATGTTGCATCCGGAGGCTTGTAGACTACCACAATGACTAGGTTTTGGTTCTCGATCTTTACTGCTAAAACTTCCACTACATCATTTGATGTGCAAACAAGTGACTCTGCAATGTACAGGCCAACCCCCCTCTCTTTTGCCTGTTCACTCTGTCACATCTGTATAGGTTGTAACCTGGGATCCATATTTCGTTGTCCAAGTGATCCCTTATGTGGGTGTCAGTGAAAGCCGCGATCATTGCCTTTGCCTCTGCAAGCAGTCCACGGATGAAAGGTATTTTGTTGTTTGTTGCTGGCCTTAGACCCTGTATATTTGCAAAGAAGAATGTCATCGGACTGGTGGTATTGTTGGGACTGGGGGGGGGGATTTTTTTTCGGCATTAGTATCTGTATCTGTTGGTTTGGAGTGGAGGCCATCGACTGTGGTTCCACTCCAGGAATGATTGGATTTGTTGTACGATTTCTTCCATTTCCTGCCAGTTTTTTTTCCTTCCTGGCACTAAAAAACCTCTCTCTCTTGAGTGGCTGTGACTACCCAGGTTTTCCCATGGCCTGGATGTTTTGTATCTTTTTGTCCCCTTCAGATGGTGTGCCTGGCAATTTAAGTTATAGCACAGTCTTTCCTGTACTGAAGAGGTACACAGTTCAGGGTGAAAAAGCTTACAGGAAGGGAGTTTGCATTTTCCTGTTGTCATATGGGCATGACACTTTCTAGGGTAGTCATAGTTGCACGTCCCGTCTGTTTTTCCAGATTTCCCATGCCTGCATAGTATGTGCACAGGCTTGGTTTCCGTTTGCCTTGGGTTTCTGTGACTGTATTTCCTGTTGGTGCATGTTTCCCTGTCTTACTCCTATCCTCTCTAGCACCAACAATGGAGCTCCCACCAGTTGTTTTTGGTAATATATCCTCACTATTGCTAGTGGAGTCCTCTTGTTTGCTATTTCCTGCGGTATTTCTAGTTTGCAATATTGGTTTTATCTTATCTTTGACTACACTTGTTTCCCTACTACGGCTCCTGTCCCCTATGAGGTCATTTATATGTATTCCTTCCTGCGTATAATTCCCGACTACCTGGACAAAATCTCCAGCTTCACCATTACTGTCCCCCAGGACAGCACCTCCAGCTTCACCATTACTGTCTCCCAGGACAGCATCCTCAGCTTCACCATTACTGTCTCCCAGGACAGCACCTCCAGCTTCACCATTACTGTCTCCCAGGACAGCACTATCAGCCCAACATTTACTGACTACCAGGACTTCACCTCCAGCCTTACAGTTTCTGACTACATGGCCAGTATCAAGGGCAGTACCATTCAGCCCAGACTTTTTATGTTCCCATCTGTTGTAGAAAGCTTCCAGGTTGTCTATGAAAGCAGCTTTGATGTTATCCTCTTTTAATACCCTTGTGATTTTAGTCCACAGATTTATCTCATTTGGGCATACCCAAAAACACTTCCCTGTTTTAATACTGCTTGTAGCTAGTTCTTGGATATCTGCACAAGGGGCGTGACACCAATTTCCACAAAAATGACAATTTATCCATGTGGAAGCCCGTTTGTTTGATTGACCACAGACTACACAGAGCTTCATAATGATTTGAATGGTTGATTTACTGTAATTCCACTAGCAACCTCTTGAATATTCTATTAATAACCTCCTTAAATGAAGCTCTAGCTATTTGTATTTCTATTTCTAACTGTACTTGTATATTGGACAGCTTACCGTGCACGTTCCTGATTTATATTTATTGTTTGTGTTTATAAGGGCGCCTACAACCCCATCCGTTTACAGTCTGCTTTATTGTCCAACGAATCCGTTTGAAACCAGTCAAGGGTTCGGACCAGTCAAGGGTTCGGACCAGTCGATCTGATCTGATCAGTGGGTCACTTATTTAAAACATACTGGTCGGTGATTTGGGCTAACACATGAAGGATCTACTGGAAATTATCTACCCGAGTAATATGTGATTTGATTGATACAAAAGTATAACTTGCGTGTTGAAGAAACCGGTGATTTCTGGCAGCTCCTACAGTGACGAACGGTCGTTCCTCAACCCTTGTTTATCAATCGCTGAATCTAGCTTTTCTATTTTTTTTCCGTCTCCACCACAATAAATGCTATATTATCACTATAGTTGACTGGAGTGCATACACATATACAGTAATCTTCAGAATAATGACACCATAATTATTATGAATGTTTCTTCTTCCGCCTAATTGTTAAATTAACGATAAAATATCTTGCTTTATATTATTAGTTGTCATGTACGTTTAGCTACGTATAGGTAGGATTTAACAGTAGCACTTCACTTTGTGATTGTTAAAATGAGAACTTTGACGGACTACCCACGCTGTAAACTACCTGTTCGCTTGTTTGATTCCTGGCGGATGTTGTAAACGAGCGTCGGATACCTGGTCATGGACAGGGCCGCGGGGGCGGTATCCCCCGATACACCCTCCAGGTAAGCCTGAAATTGCATCTGCAGCGTCTGGTCGCTGTCTCTCTGGCTGGACTTTTTCCAGGCAATACATTTCCTCTATACTGTCTGGGAAAGCGTTGTTCTCTGCTCATGTCATATAAACTCTTTTTTCTGTGCAACTCTCTTCGCAGAAAACAGTCTTATTTTGAGTTAGTGATTTGACATTTTTTGAGGGTGAATGTCTCTGTGCTTCAGGTCCTGAATATTAACTTTAAACCTACCTTGTTCTGTGGGACATCTACACACTCTCGTAGTCGAGGTTTTAAAAGCTACTAAACTAAATTCCTTGGCGCATCACCGTGACAGAAAAGAGATAGGAAACCTCATATGTATATACATGAACCTCAATATATCCTTTAAAATAAAGGTTCTCAAGAATTTTGTTGGAAAGTTACCTGTTTTTGTAAAGTCTTGAGCAAGATAATCTCTGATGGGAGTATCGACCTCTATAAGGACATGATCACCCCGTCGCACCAGTGTGTCTATTACTTCGGGGAACTGCGGGTGTGCTTTCCATATGAGTCGACCAACCTTCTCAGCGTCAGCAATATCCCGGTATATGCCAGACTCTGCTGACTGAAAGTTTATTAATTATTATTCCTGTAAATAAAATTAAGTGAATTAATCAAACGAAACAAACATACAGTCTACTTCCTTCACTTGATGATGCATGTCAGCAAAATGCATATTGTCGAAACGTTTTCACGCTTTTTACGATTTCTGTTTTGCAGAATTGTAATAGTGTAAAATCTTGGAGAACTGCGATAATATCTTTAGTTGTCGCTGGCTCGTTGCACTCACAAGAGGAAGTATTTCAAAGGAAGTATTTTAAAGTTGTGTAACTTAGACTAGATATCAGTCTCGGACACCTGTCGTTATAGCTTATGCCGCTGCCCCCCCAATGTACTCACCTACGTGTGGTTACAGGGGTCGAGTCACAGCTGCTGGCCCTGCATCACCGCTAGCCGCTACTAGGTCATTTTCTCCCCGCTCCTACAGTCTTATTATACCTCTTCTTACAACTGTGTTTGGACTTGCCTCCACTACTTCACTTTACAGATTACTTCACTTCTGACAACTCTAAGGCTAAAGAGATACTTCCTAACATCCTTATAACTCATCTGAGTTTTCAACTTCCATTTGTGGCCTCTTGTTCCTGTGTCCAATCTCTGGAAAATTCTATCCATGTTCACCTTGTCAATTTTCCTTAGTATTTTATACGTCGTTATCATGTCCTGTCCTATCCCTCTTATCCTCCTGTGTCATCAGGTTGAGCACCCTTTACCTCTCCTCACAGGGGATAACCTTTAGTACCTCCGGGGCTAGTCATGTTGCAGACTTTTGAATTTTCTCTAATTTCTTGACATGCTTGACAAAGTGGGTGTTCCATACTAGTGCTGCATGCACTCCAACATGGCCCTAACATACTAGTGCTGCATGCACTCCTACATGGCCCTAACATACTAGTGCTGCATGCACTCCAACATGGCCCTAACATACAAGTGCTGCATGCACTCCAACATGGCCCTAACATACTAGTGCTGCATGCACTCCAACATGGCCCTAACATGCTAGTGCTGCATGCACTACAATATGGCCCTAACATACTAGTGCTGCATGCACTCCAACATGGCCCTAACATGCTAGTGCTGCATGCACTACAATATGGCCCTAACATACTAGTGCTGCATGCACTCCAATATGGCCCTAACATGCTAGTGCTGCATGCACTACAATATGGGCCTAACATACTAGTGCTGCATGCACTCCAATATGGCCCTAACATAATAGTGCTGTATGCACTCCAATATGGCCCTAACATACTAGTGCTGCATGCACTATAATATGGCCCTAACATACTAGTGTTGCATGCACTCCAATATGGCCCTAACATACTAGTGCTGCATGGACTCTAATAAGGCCCTAACATGTTAGTGCTGCATGCACTCCAATATGGGCCTGACATACTAGTGCTGCATGCGCTGCAATATGACCCTAACATACTAGTGCTGCATGCACTCCAGTATGGGCCTAACATACTGGTGCTGCATGCACTCCAATATTGCCCTAACATACTAGTGCGGCATGCACTCCAATATGGGTTTAATATACTAATGCTGCATGCAGTTCAGTATGCTCTAACATACTAGTGCTGCATACACTCCAGTAATGGCCTAACATACTAGTGCTGCATGCACTCCAGTATCGGCCTGACATACTAATGCTGCATGCACTCCAATATGGGCCTAACATACTAGTGCTGCATGCACTCCAATATGGGCCTAACATATTAGTGCTGCATGCACTCCAATATGGCCCTAACATACAATTGCTGCTTGAACTCCAATGTGGGCCTAACAAACTAGTGCTGCACGCACTCTAATATGGGCCAAACATACTAGTGCTGCATGCATTCCAATATGGCCCTAACATACTAGTGTTGCATGCTCTCCAATATGGCCCTAACATACTAGTGCTGCATGGACTCCAATATGATCCTAACATACTAATGCTGCATGCACTCCAATATGGGCCTGATATACTAATGCTGCATGCACTCCAAAATGACCCTAACATACTAGTGCTGCATGCACTCCAATATGGCCCTAACATTCTAGTGCTGCATGCACTCCAATATGGGCTTAGCATACTAGTGCTTCATGCACTCCAATATGGCCCTAACATACTAGTGCTGCATGCACTACAATATGGGCCTAGCATACTAGTGCTTCATGCACCACAATATGGGCCTAACATACTAGTGCTGCATGCACTACAATATGGGCCTAACATACTAGTGCTGCATGCACTCCAATATGGGCCTAACATATTAATGCTGCATGCACTCCAATATGACCCTAACATATTATTGCTGCATGCACTCCAATATGGCCCTAACATATTATTGCTGCATGCACTTCAATATGGCCCTAACATATTATTGCTGCATGCACTCCAATATGGGCCTCGCATACTAATGCTGCATGCACTCCAATATGGGCCTAACATACTAGTGCTGCATGCACTCCAATACGGGCCTAACATACCAGTGCTGCATGCACTCCAATATGGCCCTAACATACCAGTGCTGCATGCACTCCAATATGGACCTAACATACTATTACTGCATGCACTCCAACATGGCCCTAACATACTAGTGCTGCATGCACTCCAATATGGCCCTAACATACTAGTGTTGCATGCACTCAATATGGCCATAACATATATTGTTGCATGCACTCCAATATGGCCCTAACATACTAATGTGCATGCACTCCAATATGGCCCTAACATACTAGTGCTGCATGCACTCCAATATGGCCCTAACATACTAGTGTTGCATGCACTCCAATATGGCCATAACATACTAGTGTTGCATGCACTCCAATATGGCCCTAACATACTAGTGTTGCATGCACTCCAATATGGCCATAACATACTAGTGTGCATGCACTCCAATATGGCCCATAACATACTAGTGTTGCATGCACTCCAATATGGCCATAACATACTAGTGTTGCATGCACTCCAATATGGCCATAACATACTAGTGTTGCATGCACTCCAATATGGCCCTAACATACTAGTGTTGCTGCCTCAATGCCATAACAACTTGTGCATGCACTCCAATATGGCCCTAACATACTAGTGTTGCATGCACTCCAATATGGCCATAACATACTAGTGTTGCATGCACTCCAATATGGCCCTAACATACTAGTGTTGCATGCACTCCAATATGGCCATAACATACTAGTGTTGCATGCACTCCAATATGGCCATAACATACTAGTGTTGCATGCACTCCAATATGGCCATAACATACTAGTGTTGCATTGTTATGCATGTTCTCTATGACATTGTAATGTACATCTCGTGGAGAAGTGTGCCATAATAGTATGAATGTTATAATTGTAAATAATAATTTTATAATTCAAAATGTGCTTTTGGGGGCACTGTAAAGTACTCTAATTGTAACTGTGTTTGGGTACGCTGGGTAAGCGTGGCTTGGGGTGGTCACGTGGAGTCAGCATGGTGTAGAGGCTGGCGTCGGAGATGCTGTATATTTAAGCTAAGTTTGTAGTTGTGTACTCCTTTTGTTTAGGTAACCCAAGCCATAGGCTCTTCTATGGCTTACCTGTATGCCCACCTAGGCTCTGACATGGTCAGGGTGCTCTGGGATGAGTGAGGAAATAAGAAAGGGGGTTGGTAGTGGAGCAGTGACGGCCTGGCGCTGACTAGGCCTAGTGGTTATGGTGGCTGGGCCTCCAGCCAGCTGTTTCTTGTGTACCCTCATTTTGGTGTTTAGGATTAAGGTGTTTCTAGAGTGTGTTTAAGGTGTTATGTTGAATAAATAGATATATTTTCCTAACTGGGATTTTTGCCTAACCCTCTGTTAACCAACCCATTGAAGTAACACATACTGGTTTAGCGCTTTCTGTTTTGACTGGGATAGCCCTGGGTGGCCTGTTTATGCTTGAGATGTGTGTAACTTTTACCTTTGCCCTTAGACAAGGCTCTAGCCCCCAGGTGTCCCACCTTTCTGCGTAACATGGGGGCCTGTATACCTGGAGTTTACCTGGAGAGAGTTCCGGGGGTCAACGCCCCCGCGGCCCGGTCTGTGACCAGGAGAATTATCAAATTTTATGTGGTAATTCAAGTTTGCAACCTGGAAAGTCAATAAGCATTCTTTACTGGGTTGGTTAGAGGAAGCATTCACTATAACACTCACACTAAAATAATAATTTACCTTTGTTTGCAATATTACTGGTTTTTAGGGTGTTATTATTAACTAATACCCTGTGCATAATTTACCTTTTGTTCAATATTGCTGGTTTTTTAGGGTGTTATTATTAACTAATACTCTGTGAATAATTTACCTTTGTGTGCAATATTGATGATTTTTAGGTGTTATTAATACCTGATGTTTTGTGCATAATTGCCCTTGCAGGTGTAATCTTGCTGATTTTTGGGGAGGTTATGCTTACCTAAATTTCTGGGAATAATTTTCCTTTGCAGGTGCAATAGCTCCATTTTTCTGCCAGGATTTTCTTGTGTGCAATCCTGTTTAATTCTAGGGAGTCACATGACAATCACTCCTTGTGAATACTGTATACTACTTCAGAGTATGTACTTTGCTCTGTGCTTGATTATTTTATATCAGTAAGTTTTGTGGCTGATAGCAAGATTTGGTGCTATTATTTCTCAAAATGGCTGACACTAGTGAAAATTCTAGGGATGACATGTATTTGGAAGGTGACGTTGAATCAAATTCCCATGATAGGGACCTGGATAAGGAAGTAGAAATTTTACGAATGAAATTAGCCCTAGTTGCGGAAGAAAAGCAATGGTTAAGGTTTGAACGTACAAAGATCCAGGAACAGAGAGCCTTAGAGGAGCTTAGGGCTCAAGAAAGAGCAAAAGAGAGGCAGCTTGCTTCTCACCCAGACACAGACACAAGGGTAGATGTTTTTCATTTGGATAAAGCCATAAAATTTGTGCCCAAATTCCTAGAGAAAGACCCAGACCAGTTTTTTCTGTTATTTGAAAGTACGGCCAAATCCCAAGTTTGGCCA